ACGTCTCCCAGTCACAGTTCATCAGGGAGCCCAAGGTAGGAACTCGGGGCAGGAACCTGGAGGCTGGAGCTGAAGCACAGACCATGGAGGAAAACTGCTTACTGGCCTGCTCCACTGGCCCCTGCTCAGCCTGCTTTCTTATGCAACACAGGCCTACCTGCCCAGGAGTGGCACCACCCACAGTGGGCTGGGCCCTCCCACATCACTCAACAATCAAGAAGATGCCTCACAGACATGTCCACAGGCCAGTCCTACAGAGACAATTCCCCAATTGAGGCTCCCTCAACCCAGGTGTGTCAAGTTGACACTAAAGCTATCCAGCACACTTTATTTTACTGTTTCCTGAGTGTGGATGCCATGTGACCAGCCAGCTTCCTACTCCATTCCTTCTCTCCCTGCTGCTATGCCTTCCCTACCAGGGTGGATTGCATCCTAGGACCTGTAGGCCAAATAAACCCTTGTTCCCTTAAGTTGCATCTGTTGGGATATTTTATCACAGCAATAAAAAAGTAACTAAGACAGATATTGGTACCAGAAGTGGATTGTTGCCATGATAAACTTGACCGGGTGGTTCTTAGGCCTTTGGAACTGTTTTATAACTATAATATGGAAGATTTTGATACACCAGGCTAGAAAAGCTCTCACATGATTGAAGCACACCTTAGTGGGCCAGTCTGGTGGGAGCTTAGACGACTTATGCTAAGAGAAACATAGTCAGTGGACTGTTAGGAACTGAAATAGAATCTATTCATGCACTATTTTGACCAAGAATCTGGATTCATTCCGCAAAGGTCTTGAGAAATGAGTGAAGGTGAGGTTAAAGATAATGAACTAATTTGTCAGAGGAAATTTCAAGACAGGAGAGTGTTCAGGCTGATACCAAGAAAACAGCTGTATTTGTTAAAGGCATCAGCATCATTAAAGAGGAACTTTCTGTATTGTATTGGGACAATAAGAAAGATGGTACATACCTTTAATCCCAGCACTCAGGAGGCAGAGGCAGGCAGATCTCTGTGAGATCAAGGCCAATTTGGTCTACATAGCGAGTTATAGGCCAGCAGGGGCTACAGGGACACCCTGTCTCAAAAAAAGAAAGAAAGAAAGAAAGAAAAGAAAGATGTCCTGAGGGTAAAGCACTACCCCTCAGAGGCTCCATCTTGTGATGATCAAAGTTCATTTAAATGAAGAAAGTCTAATCTGAAGTGGTTCCCTGCTCCTGGAAGCAACTACTTTGGAAATTGTTTTCCCAGGGTCAGCACATGGAAGTTGATGAAATGGCTAGGCTCCATTCCAAGTTGGCAAAAGAAGTTGTCAGTATTATCCACATGGTACTGATTTGGGAGGCATGAAAGATGTGAGACTGAGGAGGTCGTGAAGTCTTGTTCCTGGTTTCAGAGAGCACCTGAACCCAAGTATGTAGGAGGTTCAGAGTCCCTGCCAGGAGGACGTGAGAAGTCATTTATTTGTGTAAAACTGTGAAGGTGAAACCTAAGTTGTAGTGGAGACCCCAAAATAATGGAGATTCTGTCTAGGAGACCTGTGGCATGGAGTTGAGCAGGTCCAAGAGAGGCTGTGTGTGCTCTGGGTAGCAAAGCTGGTAGAATAGAGCTACCCAAGCCTTTTGGAGCCCATCCAGCCCATTTCAGCATGAGTTGGAACTGTAAGATTTGGTGTTTTCCCTGCTAGGTTTTGGTCTTGTTTTGGTCTGATCTTTCCTTGCTTGGGCCTATATTCCTGCCTTTGGAATGGGAATGTATATTCTGTGCCATTTTATGTTGGAAGAATATAATCTATTTTTTTGATTTTGTGGGGGGAGGTGTTACAGTTAAGAGATCACCTTGAGTCTCAGAAGAGATCTTGGACTTTGGACTTCTGAACAGTGTTGGGAACATTAAGTAAGGACTGTGGGGACTTTTGAAATTGGAATGAGAGGTGGCCATGAGTCTATGAGGACCTGTGGTGAAATGTAGTTTGAATGTGAAACATTTCTCATAGACTCTCATATTTGAACATTTGGGACCTTACAGCTGATGGTGCTGTTGGGAGGGTTTAGGAGGTAGAGCTTTGCTGGAGGAACTGGGTCACTGTGGTAGGCCTTGAGGCTCTATTGCCCAGCTCTACTTCCTGTTCATGTTCTACTTGCTGAGTGTGGATGCAGTGTGACCAGTCAGCCCTCTGCTCTTGCTGCCATGCATTTCCTACCATAATGGATTTACCACTGAAGAACTCTAAGACAAAATAAGCCCTTCCTCCCTTAAGTTGCCTTTGTCAGCATATTTTATCACAGCAATAGAAAAGTAACTAAGATAGTCAGTAAGCCTTACATTCTTCTATATAATTTTGTAGTTTTCTCATACAGATATTTATATTATTGGGATTTTTATTCCTAGATATCTTTTTAGAGGCTGTCAGATCCCCTGAAACTGGAGTTACGGACAGTTGTTAGCTGCCATGTGGGTGCTGGGATTTGAACCCAGGTCTTCTGCAAGAACATTTAGTGTTTTTAACTGCTGAGCCATCTCTCCAGCCACCTAGATATCTTTTTTAAAAGTTTCATGTATATGAGTATTTTGCCTGCATGTATGTAAGTGTAGCTGTGCATGAAATGCCTGTAAAGGTCAGAAGAAGGTATCAGATCCCCTGGAACTAGAGTTATAGATGGTTGGTTGTTAGCTACCATGTGAGTGCTGGGAACTGAACCTAGGTCCTCTGCAAGAGCAGCCAGTGCTCTTAATCACCGTGTCATCTCTCTAGCCCCAATCCTAGGTATCTTAATGTTTGTGTGTTTAAAAAGTAATAATAATTTGGTTAAAGTATAGTTTATGGACCATATAACATTCACCCTTAACATTTTTTTAACGTATATTGAAAATAGTACCATTATATAAGGGAGTCATTTTTCTTAAAAAATTTTCTTAATTAGCAATTTTTTTCTACCTTATGTAGCCCAAGCTGGTCTTGGACTCATTATATAGCTAATGGTGACCCTGGACTTATCTGATCCCTCTGTTTCCATCTTCCCAGTGCTGGGATTATAGGCATGAATAACCATCCCTGGTTTATGGGCTACTGGGGCTTCCTGCATGCTAGGCAAGCATTATATCAACTGAACCACATCCTCGCCTTCATTATAGCATTTTCATACATTTTGCTGATCCTCCTCCCTGCTCTGTCCCCCTGCCCTGTTTATCTTCCTCCTTCCCCCAGTATCCCCATTCTGTCTTTTCTTCCTCCCTCCCTCCCTCCCTCCCTCCCTCCCTCCTTCCTTTCTTTCTTCCTCTCTTTCTCTTTTCCTCCTCCCCTCCTCCTTTCTTTTTGTCTCCCGTCAATCCCTCTTTCCCCTTTTTCCTCTCTCCCTCTTTTCCTCCCTCCGATGTGTATCCCTTTGTGTATATACAGGTGTGCTCACCTATGCATGTACATGTAAAGGCCAGAGATTGATATTGGTGTCTTTCTCTGTTTCTCTCTACCTTATTTTTTGAGACAGGGTCTCTCACAGAGCCTGGAGCTCACCATTTCGACTAGACTGGCTAGCCAGTGAGCTCTAGGGACCTGTCTATCCCTGACATCCAGGTGCTGGGGTTATAGACACATGCCACCATACCTGGCTATTACTTGGGTGCCAGGGATAAAAATTCAGGACTTCATGCTTGCACTTTACCCACTGAGTCATCTACTTACTTGCCTTTTCTTTCCTTTTGGTAAGGTCTTGCTTTGCCTGACCTCAAACTTGAGTTCCTCCTACTTCAGACTCTCCAGTCTTTGGGTTATAAGGCCTGTAACCCCACACCACACCAGGTTTGTTGATGACTTTTGATACATACCTTCCCTATGTAACAGCCTCCCTAATCCTGATTTAAGAAAAAGAATATTCCCATTTTTCTAGAAAGTTCCCTCATGTATCTTTAAATTCTGCTGTGTGGCAGTGTCTCAGGTACCCTTGAATGGGGACAGAGTGAGTAGGGAGTATGCCTGGTGAGTGAGTGCATGTGGTGGGGGCAGTGGAGGGCAGGGACTAGGAAGGCAGGAACAGGCTCTTCACAGGTGCTAAAGGTGGTTGCTATGCAATTTGGGCATAGCAGTTCCTGAACTGAAGTTAGGTATAGAGAGGACGTTACAGTAACCTTTAGGCTTTATTTTGGTCTAGAGATTGGAATATGTGTGGTCTGAAAGTGTGGCTACTCCCTCTAATAATGGAGAAAGCTCTGGCTAGCAGTCTTTCTCATCTGACTTCAGTGGTGCTCTGCCTGTCCTCCCCTCTGAAGTATGGGAAGAGGGAAGAACTGCACCAGGCCAGGAGAATCTCCTGATGTTTTAGGATATCAGAGTTTATCATTCTCATCAAAAGGGAAGCTCATTACCCTAAAGAGTCTATTCTAGAAGAGAAAAAAAGTTTCACATGTAGATTTTTTGTATGTTGGTGTTTGGCAAGGCTCCAGTTTACTCAGTGATCACTTCTGCAAATGGAAAACAGGCCTTATATTTGCATTCACCAGATTGTGATCTGGAAAATCCAGCTCCTTCTACCAGCTGTTTTTTTTTTTTTCATTTTTATTATTCTGGTGTTCATTTTGAGTAGAGGTGATAGTGACAGATGAGGACAGTGTCTACTGTGAATAATCTTGGGCAACACAGCAATCAGAATTGAGGGTGAGCCCAGCACTTACCTGAAGTTAACACCTGGGAAACCTATTTTTCTCAAAAGAACTAAGATTGCCTTCAGTGATTTTCATAAGGGTTACATTCTATATGCAGTACATTTGTGTGCACATGTGCACATGCAGGCACACATGCACACACATACATGCACCTACCCAATAATTACTTGGAATATAGCAGGTATGCAGTACACTATATTATTATCACAAATAATGAATTTTTACCCTTTTGCCTAGGGTGTGTTGCCTTTTAACAAAGCCCCTCCCCTTGTGTTTGAAACTATAATTTATTAAAATGAAGTCATCCGTTTAAATTTTGGTTCTTTTCTGGTCTTTTCTCAGGCATGCTGCAGAGACCTTTCAATCCTTCATGAACACACGTGTGCTGGACAGATGAGTGTTCTTCATCCTGTGCTGCTGCAGTAGGTAACTCAGACGTGAAACTGTACAACAGGGAGAAGATGGATTCCAAAGATGAAAGCTCACATGTGTGGCCGACATCTGCAGACCATGAACAGAACACTGCACAGGTGAAGGGTGCCCTCTCCCATCTCGCTATTGATAGCAGTGTTATAATTGGGTATTTCACTGCTAGCTAAAGAAATACCAGAGCCTGTATTGTAGGAGTGACTGGGAGGGAGCTGCCCTGAGAACTTGCTCAGAACTAGGAATGGGCCACACTTTGAACGCTTCACCTGTCAGACATGGTTCCCTGTGAGTTAGAAGAACTCACTTACCAATTTTAGGTGTCACTGCTCTGTATTTAACTGGTAGAATCTGCTTCCCTACCTTTGCTTTCTTTTATGCTTTCGATCCTGAAAAGCCTCAAACCATTGTTTGCTTCTTTTATGTTAACTGGTCTAAGGTTTCAATTCTTTGTGAGTAGTGAAACACAAAGTATGTTTATAAAATGAGTGTTTTTTGTTTTTTTTTTCTTTCTGTCTTTTTGTGTGTGTGGTTTTTTTTTTTTTTGAGACAGGGTCTCCCTGTAGCCCCAGCTGTCCTGGAACTCACTATATAGACCAGGCTGGCCTTGAACTCACAGAGATCTGCCTGCCTCTGCCTCCCAAGTGCTGGGACTACAGGTGTGTACCACCACGCCCGGCTATGAGTGGTCATTTTTTAAAAAAAAAAATTAGACTGTAAACCCTGGGTGCAAACTGTCTCAATATGTCATCAGTTTTGGTGGTTAGATACTCATTCAAATACTACTGTTATGATGAGCTCTGCCTTTTGAACTGCTATCAGAGCCAGTTGTATGTTCTTTTGACTCTTCTTAGCAAAGGCAACTCTTTTAGATACATATCTATTATGGGATAGGTCAGTAATCATAGGAGCCATATTTTGTATGCAGCCAAAATGTAAAACATTATTTATGTGTATGAATGTTTTGCCTGCATGTATGTAAGTGCACCATGTACATGCAATGCTCAGAGGCCAGAAGGAGTTGGATCCCCTGGAACTGGAGTTACAGACAGTTGTTAGCTACCATGTTGGTTCTGGGAACTGAATCCTGGTCCTCTGCAACAGCAGCCAGTGCTCTTAACTGCTGATCCATCTCTCCAGCCCCATAAAACTTATTTTTAAACATTAGGATAAATGAAACATTCAAATGTGAAAATATTACTAATTTAAGCAATATAATCGATACTGTAATTAGTAAAAGCAATCATCTGGTATGCTTTAAAGGTTGCAGTCTAAATTACATACATACACACACCACACACACACACACACACACACACACACACACACATGCGCGCGCGCACAAAATGGTTCCAGAAATGTTTTCAGCAGAATAATTGATAATGCCACCTTTCTTGTGGACAACTGCTTTTATGAAGTTATTTATTTTATCAAAAAGGAAATCTATGAGGCCATGTGTGTGTGTGTGTGTGTGTGTGTGTGTGTGTGAGTGTGTGTGTGTGTATGCGTGTGTGCGTGCGCGTGTGTTTGTGTGTGTGTGTGTGTGTGTGTGTGTCCAGGGGTAACCAGACAGGGGAACTGAAGTCAGGAATCCCTGTTGCACTCTTTCTTTCCAGTCATTTCTGCTTTTGGCTAGGAGTTCCTATTCTGCCAACTCTTATTTATAGAATTTAAGTGAGGAAAGCCAAATGGAAAAGCTTGGATGTCTCATTGTTTAAGGAAAATGTCTTTCTCCTCCTTTTAAGCACTGAAACTAGTTCAAGGCTTTGATGTGAATGAGCAAATTGAAAGTTACAAGATGATAGATCTGAAGTCACAAGATTGTCTTATAATAATGAAAGCTGTGCAAATATGCTGTGTGCTTCATTTCCCCTATATGCATGCATGCTTTATCTTCAGGGATAAATCAAATGTATATAGAAGGCACACTAATCACTTAGCAGAGAAGTGAAATCTGCTGTATTCCTATGGTGCTCAATTGCACTTGGGCTCCGGCATTCTTTCTGGGGATGAAGTTAGTTCATATGTCATCTGTGGAATCTATTTAATTTTCTACTGGAGAAAACGGCCATAGAAACATGAGGACCAAGTCAGTGAAAGAAAGAGTAAGGGTTCCAACTAAGAGTGCTGAATTTCCACATTCATGATTTCTCTCTCCAGTGTGTGCTTTGCTCATCTGCTTCCAGCATTCCATATCAGGCACTAGGCACATTAGCTATGTTGGAGCCTCCACAGAATCAACCTTGAAGAGCTGACCTCTCTGAGAGGATTTTACAAAATTCAGTTTTACTTGTAGTTCTATAGGTCTTGGGAAATGGAAGATTGCTTCCCTTGGTGACAGCTGAAATACTTGACCAGAACCTCTTAAAAGTTAGGGTTTTCTGCTCCTTCATCTATCTAGCAAGGAAGAGTTGTATCACATCCATTGATTCAATGGCATTTCCTGATATGCCTCTGATATGTCTTTCACATATGAAAGAACTGTAGGAAAGAAACTGACCTTATTTTAATGCATCAGCTGAAAATAGAATTTTGTTTGTTGGTTTTGGTTTTTTGAGACAGAGTTTCTCTGTAGCCTCCAGATGGCTTGGAACTTGCTATGTAAACCAGGCTGGTCTTGATCTCACAGAGATCCACCTGCCTCTCTGCCTCCTGAGTGCTAGGATTAAAGGTGTGTGCCACCACACCCAACTGAAAAATAGAGTTTTTATGAAAACAATTGGCTTTTAGGTCATCACAGAATAGTGTGTATTTCAGTGGTGGGGTCATGCAAAACTCTGCTGTTACTTTTCCAGGATCAATTAACCGTGCCCTCATCATTCCCTAGAAGACTTATTTATCAGTGTTGAACTTTTATTTCTTTATTTATTTTTAAATGTTTTTTTATTATTTTTATTTTATGTGTATGTGTGTATTGCCTGTATGTGTGTAAGAGCACCGATGTTATGCAGTGCCCTTGGAAAACAGAAGAGGCCATTGGATCTCTTGGAACTGGAGTTATGGATAGTTGTTATCTGCCATTCGATTCTGGGATTCGAACCTAGGCCTTCTGCAAGAACAGCCAGTGTTCTTAACCACTGAGCTGTCTCTCCAGCCCCCAGTGTTGAACTTTTAAAGCAAAAGAATTCAAGTCAGTTCTCTAACATAAAGCATTCAATCTTCAAACTTCTTGCATCCTGCTTCCTAGTCTAGAGATCCCAGTGTGGATGAAGAGGCACATTCATTTTCCTTTTTCCATTGGGGATATTGTGGAAGCTCAACTGTGTTCAGTTTGTCATATGCCTTATGAATTTGATTTTGCTTTTAAGGGCAGTTGCTACATACTTCCCTGATTTTTGCTACAGGTACACTTTGTTCCGGATACTGGAACTGTTGCTCAGATTGTGTACACCGATGACCAGGTCCGTCAGCCCCAGCAGGTGGTGTACACAGCAGATGGTGCCTCCTACACATCAGTGGACGGTCCAGAGCACACACTGGTGTACATCCACCCAGTGGAAGCTGCACAGGCATGTGTAGGATTGTTTTTGACTTGTTTATTAATTAATAAAGCAATTATTTATGTTTGCTGTGGGTCAGTTGTTGTACTAGATTCTGATGCAGAAAACATTCCTCTAAGATTTGTGCTATCAAGGAGTTTATAACCAATTTGACAGAGAAAGAGATGGTTCATTTACTTAAATTATGTGCAGTAATGAGTTAGAGCACTGGCTTTGTATCAGCCCTCCTATCCAGTGATCAATGACATGATTGTCAATTTGTCTTTTTTTTTTTCTTCTTTTGATATTTTTGAGACAGGGTCTCTCTGTAGCCCCAGCTGGCCTGGCACTCGCTATATAGTCCAGGCTGGCCTCAAACTCACAGTGATCTGCCTGCCTTTGCCTCCTAAGTCTGGGATTAAAGGCGTGCACCACCATGCCTGGCTGTGATTATCAATTTGTTACCTTCCCTGAGCATACAGAAGCAGACATTTCATTTTATATACTATACAGTATGTAGCTTAATCAAAGATAGCTCAGTGAAAGCATATACACTATTTCAGTTAAATGTGTTAGCAAAGGAACCTACTAGCTTATTAACAACTGTTTATTAATAATGTCCTCGTTTATAGGACTATGAAAGGAGAAGCCAAGGTGTTTACTTGTAAAGCTATATACATTATAGCTTCTTTTGTTTTTTCCCAGTGACTGAGAATTTCCAAATGAGTGACACAGATTTCCACAATACCCTATAAACATTCACAATATACAAAGTAATTTTTGGTCTTTTTGAGACAGGGTCTCCCTGTAGCCACAGCTGGCCTATGAACTTGCTATGTAGAACAGACTGGTTTGGATCTTACAGAGATCTACCTGCCTCTGCCTCCTGAGTGCTGGCACTAAAGGCATGTGCCACCACACTGGGCTCATGTACAAAGTATTTTTAAGCATGTATTTATTTTTGAACACTGGGAATTAAATTCAGGGTGTTTAGCATCTGGGAAACTCATTCTTCCCTAGAGAATCAAACTGATCTTCAGTGTTTTTAATGAGTTACATTGTATATATATATCAGTGTATATGCAACCCCCTCCCCATTCATACATACAATGAGTACAGAAGATATAGTAAGTATTCAATACATTGTTTTATTGGTATTACTTTTTCATTTTGTATTTTGACTTTTAAATCAAGGCCTTTATGCATACTAAGCACATGCTCTACCAAGATCTATTCTGTCAGCCTCTAAATATTTGTTTTTATAAAAAATTTACATATCTTTTTTTTTTTGTCTTTTTGAGACAGGGTCTCCCTGTAGCCCCAGCTGTCCTGAAACTCACTATGTAGACCAGGCTGGCCTCGAATTCATGGAGATCCTCCTGCCTCTGCCTCCGGAGTGCTGGGATCAAAGGTGTGCGCCACCACGCCCAGCTAAAAAATTTACATATCTTTTTAAAAGTGAAAAGGTTTATTTTATGTGTATGAATTTTTGCCTGCATGTATGTAAGTGCACTCATGTATGCAGTGCCCACAGAGGCCAGAAGACCGCATCAGATCCCTTGGAACTTGAGTTGTGGACAGTTCTTAGCTGCCATGTGGGTGCTGGGAACAGAACCTGAGTCCTCTGCCTGTAAGAGCAACTACTGCTCTTAACCACTGAGCCATCTATCCAGCCCCCAAGTTACATATTTTTACAGTAGGATCTTTATCATAAAATTTTGTCCTCATGCAAAGAGGCTGAAGTCACTTCTAAGGAGAAATGAGGCTTACCTAATCAACACATTTCTAATCTATATAAAGATGGAATTGCCACATGCTCAGATGGTAATTTTGGAGTGTTTGGTTTTAGTCCTCTGTATTAAAATACAATCAGATAGCTCATGTAAAGAATGTTCTGTGCTCAACTTTTAGTTTATTGTATAACTAAATGTCTGAATTTTGATTATTTTTTAATGTCAAAGTGAAGAAATCTCATACTTCTTGAAATTCTCCTTTGCATTCCTCTGGAATTCAAATTTAACCAGCTTCTATTCCCATAAATTTTCTAAAGTCTTAGGCAAATTAAAGTCTTTTAAAAGTGTTAGCAAAGAGAATATTTTTCTGTATTGAAGATATTAACCACAGTGCTGTTAGCTCTAATAGCTTTGGAAGTGTTCCTTTGCTAGTTGTGCATTTAGAATGATTAGATTTCTTTATTTTTATTATTATAACTACTGGCTTTAGCCAAGAAACAGCCTATGGAATATAAATTCAGTTTATGTTCCTTCTACTTTTCTGATGATCAACACGTGTTCATATTCTGCAAGGTCATAAACCTTGTGTTTTTAATGCTCTTCTGGATGTTCCTGTATCTCCAGTCATTTTCACCGACTCACAGATCTCTTGTGAGTAGGGTTCAGTGTGAACTGTGTGTTCTGTTCATGGCATGTCTTCTATGTTTTCATAACATGCCTTTTTAATTAACTGTGACATTGAACCTTAAGAGAAGTTTTGCTTGAGAGTAAATAGTAAAATATGTTAGCCTTTGGGATGGTTAGCTTATACAATCTCTGTGGAGCCATTTGGATGAAAGCTTTTAGCCAAGTGCAAGATTACAATCTTTATCTTCTTTATTAATGAAGGATTACTAGCTATAATTCAAGATAACTCTCCCAAGAGTTGATGCTTAATAGAATAATTTTTCCTGTGTAGGCGAGTGGTCTAAAGATCTATTGATATGTTTTTTTTCATCTTTTTTTTTCCCCTGTCTAGACTTTGTTTACAGATCCAGGCCAGGTAGCTTATGTCCAACAGGATGCTACAGCTCAGCAGGTAATAAAAGCCTCTTTTTGCCATTTGGGAACAATACAGTGACTCTCATGGTTCCTACAATATTTGTCTACCCCTTTGCCCTGGTCCATCTCTGAATGTTTGTTTTTTATGTACTAAGACCTTTCTCTAATTTCTTTAATGGGAATAAAGAAAATACAGCATAATACTAACATATTCTGACCAGTGTATATTAGAATAGCCTGGTAATAAAAAGTGGTTTGTTAAGGAAGTTTCAAAAACTAAGCATATACCACTTACATACCACTTGTGAGGAGGAGGCAGGAGGATTGCTCATGCCCATCCACCGGCTCAAGATCAGCCTGGGCAATGTATGAAACCCTGTATCAAATAGGTAAACAAGCACATATAAACAGGATATTGGTCTAACTTCCCAATAAAAGAATGATCATGAGTTTTGAAAGTGTCTTTTGGGGGTTGTTGTCATGGTGCACACCTATAAATACTAGTACTTGGGAGGTGGAGGCAGGAGAATCACAGGTTCTAGACCAGACTGAGCTATGTGGCTAGATACTGTCTCAGGGGGAAAAAATGAAGGAAGGAAAAAAAGACCATCATACCAGCTTCTGAATACTGGCAAATGAAGTTTCCACAAAGTTGGCCTTTGTCCCTGGATGTGCTCAGGGAGTTTCTTATCAGTTACTTGAGAGGGAAATTTGTTTTGGAGAAATATTCCAGGTAATACACAGCACCCCAATAAAATACGGTTGTAGGCAGTTGTCAATAACAGCCTGAGAAAGACTGATGGGAGCTTCTTGATGAACAACCCAGATTAACCTTCTGTCTTAGAGTGACTAAGAGAGGGATGGCCATGCATTGTATTGCTTTCCATTGTATCTTACCATGTGTGAAGTATTCATCCCAGAAAGTCAAGCCTGAATCTGATCAGTCTGTAGATAGTTCTGCAGCTGCTAGGAAGCATGGTAGATAAATGGAATATGTTAAAATACATTCAAGGTTGTGCTGGCAAAAGACCTTTTTTTGTTTGTTTGTTTGTTTTTGTTACTGACTTTTGCTTATTTATTTTATCTGTATATACATATACACATTGAACTATTTATAGATGAAAATATATAATGTGGGGGTTTTGCTTCAAAGTAATCTGGTGAGAGGTAAGGAGAGTGGGAAATCAGTTGCTAATTGTTTTGAGTCTAAATGTATATGAAATTTGTTGCACTGTTTTATTTTATATGTTTGAGATGTGTCCTTATGCATGAGAAAGAAGTTGTGTTTGTTTGAGACAGGGTCTTAGCTGTGTGGCACACTTGCATGATATGATATTCTCCTGCCTTAGCCTGTTATGGGCTGGGATTGCAAGTGTGAGCCACCATGCCTGGTTTAGGAAAACTATTTTAATAATTATTTGTAAATTGATTATGTGATATTGAAGAAATTTGTATTCCTGCCAAGTATATGAAAAGTATATGCCCATTTCCAACACCCTTCCACTGGGATATTTGCATTCTTTTTAAATTTTGCCAATCTGATAGACAAGATGGTATTTTGTTGTTGTGGTATTAAGGCATGGTTTTAATTAATGGGTTTGTTTCCATTTGAAGAGCCTCAAAGGGCTCTTCATCTTCTTCAATCTTCGGAGACAATCTGGTCCTTTCATGTTTTGTATGAAAGTAAAGTTGTACTCAGATAGTTCCTGAACCCTGGCATTATAAGATGGTACAACTCTATTGGCTTAACATAGCATCCTTGCTTTATCTCGCTCTCTCTCGCTCTCTCTCTCTCTTTCTCTCTCTCTCTCTCTCTCTCTCTCTCTCTCTCTCTCTCTCT